ATGCAAACTTTAGCTTAAAATGTTCTATTTATATAGAATCACTGATGTTTCTCGATTTATATCTAGTTGAATAGAGCATTGATTACTGTATCGAACTTTAAAATTTGCATTTTATTTATCTTCAAACTTATTGAAAAATCTGATCAATTTTGAAAATAAGTTAGAAACAATATTTACATTCAGCGGTTTTCAGATAATTTTGGTCGATGAAAACTTTTATTGAAAATATTTCTATACAGACATCTGATATTGATGCCAAATATATAAAATGCAGCCACAATAAATTCAAATATGAAGTAACCTGACAATACCCTATCACAGCTAGTGATAGATTAGGGCATACTTGGAACTGGACCAGCCGAATGGTCAAGAGATATGATTCTGAAAACTTCCCACAGATAAAACTTCAATCGTATTGGAAATTCCAGCTCTAAACATAAACCAATAGTATATCATTCTTTCTTTAAAGACTCATTTATTATACTGACAAGATATTACCAATATTTTATCAATTACTGTAGATTTTTAATCTTGAAATTGCAGCACCATTCATATGAAGTGATTTTAGTTGATTGTTATAGATTTCTTATAGATACTGTTATTCACTTCTTACTTTTACTAGAAAATACTTTTAATAGAATCGTTTCTGTTGTAATGATTCTTTTGTCGATTGAAATACCTTTCACTTATGTTGACGGAATCACTGCTGTTCAATCCTGATTTCCATGAGTCCTTAGCCGAAAATTTTTGAAAGAAATCTTTTTTCTTTTTCAATAGTAGAAGACTAAAAAGGAGTTTTTACTATTACAAGCTTCAAGAATTCTATATGAGCTTGATATTGTGTATCTTTGTAGAACTAAGATAACAAACTACTTCCTAACAGCATAGGCGGCGGAGCGTTTTTAAAAACGTCGGATCTCAAATTCAGAGCATGGGATCCAGACGAAACGTAATGGAGAATGGTATTGGAGTAAAATGATCTGTTGAATGTCAAAAACTTTTTGCCATTGGAGTCTGCGAAAAAAAGTTTTTTTTCCTGAGGCTTACCTGAATTTTTCTTTCGCTGTTAGCAGTATTTCGGTTTTTAGAATTCCATAGTAATCTACATCGAATTTAATCGACAGATTTCAATTTTCATTAAATAATATGGATCCATTCAGGAGTTATAACGTTTTGAAATTTTGCTAAACTTTTTAGCAATTTTGAATAAGAATCAAAACGTTATAACTTCTGAACGGATCTCTATTATTTAATGAAATTTGAAATCTATCGATTAAATTCGGTGTAGATTACTATGGAATTCTAAAAGACGAAATACTACTAACAGCGAAAGAATAATTCAGGTGAGGCTCAGGAAAAAAAAACTTTTTTTCGCAAACTCCAATGGCAAAAATTTTTTGACATTCAACAGATCATTTTTTCTCCAATACCATTCTCCATTACGTTTTGTCTGGATCCCATGCTCTGAATTTGACATCCGACGTTTTTAAAAACACTCCGCCGCCTATGTTCATAATCGTTTCGAACAGCAAGGAATAATGAATTGTGAGTGTGACTCATAATAAACATGTCATATCTAACGTGTTAACATTAAACAGCACAAACAAAGTTACGTTCTTATCAATATGAGACATCGTACAATAGTCAACATATTTACCGCAAGTAAATAACACACTTATGGTCTCAATTTTCAACATGAAGATTTGTTTAGCCACTGTTTCTGCCGCAGAAGCAATTACACGCGTTCACTACAATGCCGTTCACGGATTAAGACCTACAAACTTCTACGCACAAGACATTTTAAAAAGTTGGGCACCATCACCGACCGATGAGTATCGTATCAATCGGTTTCGAGGTATCATAAAGAGTCACAAAGAACTCATTGTTGTTGCTGAATTAGACAACAAGTTAATCATAGGATTCGGAGCAATTATCATTTCTGATCACGAGATTCGTGCATTTTATGTTGACCCAATGTACGAGCATCAAGGCGTTGGCAGAAAAATCTTGGAATATCTCGAAGAATTGGCTTTGGATCAAGGCGTGAATATATTAAAATTAGAAGCTACTCTCAATGCTGAGACATTTTACATCCGCCATGGCTATTCGGTGACACAGTACGACTATCATCCTTTAAGCTCAGGTGGTCAAATGAAATGTGTCAAAATGAGCAAGGAACCACACAAGCGCTAGAGAACAGTGAATAGTCATTTTTTTTGTATTTAGGGTGTAGGTGTGGGTGTGGATATTCTCCCAAACGACACTCTCATCCACACCCACACCCAAAAGTCTCTTGCACGAAAGAAGAATGTCTATAGATACGGATATATGAATAAAGTGACATTAAATCTCATTTACTTCATTATATGTCTTAAAAGTAAAAATAATTCTTCAGCTTTAATCTATTATTTACGATAACTGCCAGTTGTTTGTAGTTACCGATAATTCTCAGATTTAGAGATGTACAGAACATAGTTTTATTTCCGTATAGAGGGTGTGGATGTGGATGAATGCGGATGTCTGTTAGTGGTTTGGTTGTTGGTGTCGGTTTGTTTCGAACCTTGCAAGATTCACCGCACACGCACACTACTTGACTTATTTTAACAAAAATAGTTAGGCACTGTTTCGTTTGAATGGCAAAACGTCTGAAAAATACATTACAGATGAGTTATGTTTTGAAACTATCAACGCTGTCTCTGTGCTCACGTATATTCTCTGTTGAGTAAGAAAAACAAAGAATGGTGCACTAGTAAACAGTGCAATGTGTGTAATCAAACAACGTATTCAACTATATTATTCATGAACGATTTTTGTAAACACATAAATGGCTGCAGCTAACCCCAAGTCATATAAATGTTTCAGATTTCTTTTCGAAAATCATTTATCGATGCCAGAAGAAATAAACACATATGAAGCACATGACTTTGCAACGTGAGAGAAGAATATCACAGTAAAATGATATCGTTGATCACTCATAGTCAGCACTGCAAGAAAGTAGTCACTCCATCGTTGCAGTTCATAGAATGATCAATAACGAAAGCGCACTTTTTTCTTTTGAAAAGCAAGTCATCGATTACGATGATATCGATGCGTATTCAAGCATTCTCTCGCTGAACATGAAACGAACGATACGACCACAATCATGTTTTATCAGAAGATACATCGACATCAATGCACACATTCACTTACAAAATGTATCACGCTTTTGATATTTTCAGATACGATTCAGATATCATCGCCGACACAATGACTCTTTCATCACACTGGAAAATTAAACTAATACTACTTATTCTTAGCTATTGATTACGAATTTCTTATTTCAACAGCATCGTAATTCAAGAAAGGTATTGCGCAACCATCATGCAAAAGAAAAAGAGAATCGAAGAAAAAAATGCGCCAGCCAGGAGTCTAACCTGAGCCTATTCCTTGGCAGGAAATCATGCTAACCGTTACACCACTGGTACTTACCTTCGATAGCAACATACGAAAATTCTGAATTAAGATTCTACAGGATATTCAGCATGCAGTCTGAAACTTACGCTGTAGAAACGTTGCATCAATATTAATGTATGAAACATCAATCGATTGAGTACTGCTAGTTTTATAACAGGATAACTGCCTATATATTGCGACACTTTTCATATATAGTTAAAACATAGAATCTGTAAAGTATGCTATGTAACTACTTGTGCAGAATTGAGCAAAGAATTTGAGGTGAAAATTTTTCATGTTTGGTAGTTTATGGACAGTCATACGCTAACACCGTTAGCAGTGTTACATTGGATGGCATGGTATACAGTAGTGAAGAAATAAGCGAGTGTGAATGTCAAGCAAGAGTCGGATATTAAATGTGGAATGACAGCTGAAGAAATACTATTTCCTTCATGGTTTACGAGGCACACAATTATTTTTGTCGCCAGAGAATAAACTTTTGTTAAGTTTAGTGTGTTTCTTGAACAAAATACTCTTTCTGGAAAACCTTTCACTTACCACTATGATCGCTTGAATGATGTATGATAATCTCTGAGGACATGGGTATTGATGCGTATGGCTGCGAAGTAAAGTTGCTCGAAGCTTTCGGTATATGTAAATACGAGACTTTTGTGTCGACACTTGCATCTATGTTCTCCCCTCGTAACCACACACACCCGATTCTCAAAGAACACTAACTCAAATTTCTGTTATTCGTGTTTCGAAAACAATATAGAAAAGAGATGTCAGCGTTCTCGCTATTGGGCTTTCCGTTTCCAAGGATTTAGAACGTACTTTATATTGCGTTTTCTAGCATGATTGTGATATATCGCGATTCCTAGTTAACCGTTTTCCGATCTTGAACGGATTTCTGAATATCTAGGGTATGGGTGAGTGACTCACATCTAGATGATAAATCATATAAATAACATGGATTAATATGTGTTGTTGGACGAATATGTAATCGAACAAATGATCTATGAACAATTACTGTAAATTTTCCATGAGGATTTATTTCATAAATTTTATCTAATTGATTTGTATATTCATCTTTTGATTTATAATTTAAAGATTTCTTTTGTTCAAAATTTTTCATGTCTATTATCATTGTTTGTATTCGTATGAATAAATTTTATATTATTAAAATAGAATTTTCTCTTCATTTATGTCTTTTTTTATGGTAACTATGAGAATTTAATTAAAGACATAAAATGTCAATCAAGATTATATTTTATTTCAAAGAAATTTCAAAACAAAATAGAGAAAAAAAAATAATAAGTTATTTATTCATTCGGTTGTACACAAGCTGATTCCTGTTCATTGAATGGATCTATACGATAAGTTAAAGTACATTGTTCATTTCGAAGTTGTTTAGCATTTCTAGTTAAATTTTCTGCCCATTCATCACGAGCAGCTCTTTTTACACGATATTCTGTAACTTTTAAATTAGCATAAACAGGTAAATCGTGTGCTAATCTAGCCAAAAAATCTTTTTCATGAGTAAACATACCACCACACTGTAAAAAAAAAGCGTAGAATAATAAACCCTTTAAGGGTTTATGAAAGTGCAACGAATAATATACCCTTTTTACCGTATGTTACACTTTTCATAAACCCTTTCATAAACCCTTTGG